ATTCAAATTGAAATCTATTTATTAAAATTTGTGTCGGAATTGACTAGTTTAAGAAAAGAAAGTTATTTATATTAAGGTTCCATTTCGATGCATATTTTTTAAATTAAATTTTGTGAAAAGTGATTTTTTTAGGAACATGATTAAAATATAAGAAAAATTATGGGTTTATATATAAAATTATTTTATTTAAAAATGTGTATTAAAAATGAGTTTGATGAAATATAAATTTTAAAAAAATTGTATCAAATAGGGATTAAATAAGTTTACAATATTTGATGCTGCCACCGAGCCCAACAGATTGTATCTATAGTTTGGCAAGCCCCATTTTTAAAAAAAGGCAAAATAATTTACTGTCGCCGGAGCCAGTACAGGAGGCCATTAAGCCTTGCCGGATGTTAGCTTTGCCGCTGATTATCATTATAGTAGGCATAATGTGGTTGCAGACGCTTTAAGCAGAACGTTAGAGGGACAATTGCCATCTTTTTCGAGGGATCGCTATCAATTTGTTAAGTGTTAGAGAAGATAAATTTTGAGGTTTTTACTTATGTAAATCAGACCACAGCTCAGATAACAATTTTGGTGGTTCTACATAATCTCAAAATTTGAATTACTGGGGTGCAAGATAAAGATCCATATCTCTAGAAAATTAGAAGTCAAGTTGGATCAAATAAGATAAAGTATTTTGAGATGTCGTCGATTGTATGTCTTAATACTAGGAACTGAGAAACGGAATTCTAGAAGAACCTCACTCCACCTTTAGGTCCTCACCCCAATGGTACAAATATTTATTGAAACCTTCAAAATATGTTTTGGTAGAGGAATAAAAAAAAAAGTATATGATCTTTTGTTAGCAAGTGTATAATTTGTCAACAAGTGAAAGCACAACATGAGAACTTGTAGGATTATCAAATCCTCTACAATTACCAGAATGGAAATGCGAGCATATTTTCATGGATTTTGTAATTGGTTTTTCGAATCGGTGAGGAAAATAATGTCATTTGGATAATTTTCGATCGGTTAAATAAGAGTGCTCATTGATGTTTAGATATTGGAGGATATATTGCAAGCTTGTGCGTTGGATTTAGAGAGAAGTTGGAGTTTTGCTTACTCTTGGTAGAGTTTGCTTACTAGATAGTTTTCAAACTACTATCAAAATGACACCGTATGAAGCTCTCTATGGTAGACAGTGTATATTACCAGTTCATTGGGATGAAGTTGATGAGAAGAGGATTTTGGGTCCAAAAATTATTATTATTGCCGTAGGTAAGATTAGAAATCATGTGAAGGCAGTTGAGGATCGACAAAAGAGTTATGCTAACAATAGAAAAAAAGATCTAGATTCCTAAATGTGGTAGCAATAGATGTGTATTAAGTTTCAAAAAGAAGGAAGTTTAGATGGCCTATATAAGACCTTTCAAAATCCTTAAAAATATTGGTAATGTAGCGTATTAATTAGTCCTATTACCCCAACTTTCAGTTGTTCAAATATTTTTCACGTTTCTAATATCAGAAAGTATGTGCATGACCCAAATGATGTGGTTAACTATCAGATATTGAATATTTAGAAGGACTTGTCATATAAAGAAGTTCCGCTTTCTATTTTGGATAGAAATGTACAAAAGTCAAGGTCTAAAGAAATTCTGCAGGTCAAGATTCAATAGAGACATCATAGAATAGAAGATGTTACTTGGAAAATAGAAGCAGAGATTAAATTAAAGTATCTGGCAGTATTTGCCTAATCAAAGGTAATCTCAATGAAAAAACTCCTTTATGTTATAAGGGATATAAGGTCTAAAATTTTATTTTGCTTCTTTTGATTGGATTTACCTATTTAAGAAACGAGCATTGGATGCTCGACCCACATAATGAAAGAAAAGTCCAAATACATATTTTAATTAAAAGATTAAAGATCTAAACCATTTAAGTTTAAATGGATTTTAATTCAAAAAATTAATAAATAACTAGATTGTAGCACAATGGTCATCTACATGATTACATAAGATTACTACCTAGGTTTGAATCACCATGTTTTTATAAAAAAATTATAAAAATTTATCTCAGAGTAAAAAAAAAAAAAAAAAAAAAAAAAAAAAAAAAAAAAAAAAAAAAAAAAAAAAAAAAAAAAAAAAAAAAAAAAAAAAAAAAAAAAAAAAAAAAAAAAAAAAAAAAAAATTCTTTGAATTCTCACTCTAAGGTTCAATTTAACAAGGTTTATGATTACCATAACTCTATCATTTAATTCGCTAAAAAGAGGTGTTCCTAGAAAAGTAAAGTCACTTTTTACCCCATCTCTTTTAAAATCTGAATTTTACTTTTCTTCCTCTCAACTTGTGTTTGTTTTAGCTTATTTACAACAAGAAATAATAAAAAAATTATTACTACAATTTTGATTATTCAAAGCAAATGATTTTCCCATTTTTATATCAAGAATTTAGGTAGGTGGTACAAGTGGATTTTTTATTTGAATGTCTATGTATATTTTATCTTTATAAATATAATTGCAAGTTATGAACGGTAAATATTAAAGTTTTATGGCCACAATCGATTTCTACGAACCTAATGGATTCTTCAAAATCAAGAATTTTACTTGTTATCCAACTATGTAAAAATGTGTATGGTATGAAGTTTTTATGATTTACATGTGAATATGTATATTTATTCAAAGGAAATTGAACCTATGTAATTCTATAGGGGTTTATGTTCACTCATACTCTACGGAAATTTTTAGATCGAGAAGGGACTGTGGATGGATAAAGATTGCATGAATTGTGAAGAAGCCAAGGAGAGAGTAATCAAATTAAAGATCAAGGTTCTTATGTATAGAATTTACTTTCATATGTTTTAACGTTAATACTAAAATAATGGGTTTAAACGACTATATTTGTGTTTGAGTTTGTAGTTCATTTGGGTAAGAAACTAGATTTTCATAAAGCTCTATGAAGTAATATTAAATTATGTTAGTATGACATATTAGCATAAATTCTATCATGAAAATGTGATTGGGTCGTGAATTTGGACATCGAAAAACGTAAAGTAGAAATTTTAGCTTTCTATCAAATTTTCGAACAATTACTTCGTATCGAATATTGTATATTTTTGAATGAGATGAGTAGGTTTAAATGCTCTATGAGTCTTGTGTTTGTTAGCTTTGGAATCAAATCCTTTGGAGGTCGGTAGGATAAATTATGCAACTTTCTCTGTGTTGTGTTAAGTATAACCTGGTACAACTTTTGGGGTGTGATTTGTGTTAAATTGCGTACATAAACGATATTAAAAAATATTAAGATTTTACTATTTGGTAGGATAAATTATGCAACTTTCTCTGTGTTGTGTTAAGTGTAACCTGGTACAACTTTTGGGGTGTGATTTGTGTTAAATTGCGTACATAAACGATATTAAAAAATATTAAGATTTCACTATTTTTACTTGAATGAGTTTAGAAAATACTATAAAACTTTCATAGAATTTCAAAACTGAAAAATGGTCGAACTGAGCTCGACTGGTAGGTGTCGTGTTGTAGGATTGAATTTCGCTAATGTATGCTAGCCTCCATATCTGTCATTCATTTTAGTTTCATTTTTTCAATAAACCAAAGATAACAAAGTTTATCCATTTATTTCTATTAGTTGTTGGAAATTGTGTTAGAATCTAAGGATAATCTACGAAATAAGAAAATACAATTAATTTAACCCAAATTTTGGGGACCTAAGAAGCATTTTTTTTGTAACAAATCTAAATCCTAAGATTTGGGGCGTCACCAAAAGTTTGGAGCAATTTCTGGAGTGGACAATTGAGAAGCTTTTCTGGGTAATTACAATTAGTGAGTCAAAGTCGACTAATGTTTCATGAAGTGTTGTTGTTGTTGTTGTTGTTTTTTTTTTTTTTTTTTTGATGAATTCTTTAAGAGTTTTTCTTTTGTAAACAAATTTATTGATTTTTTTCATGCCTTTACTTGTTTTAATTACCTCTGTACTAGAAAATTTATTTTCTATCCATCTATATCAGATAATTTGTGATGCATTGCAGATTATTCCTACTAAATTTAAATTCCACACAAAACACCTATTTACTTTCCTTTAAGTGTTAAGTGGGATGAAACATTGTTTTTTCACTTGTTATCGAAGCCTAATTTTAGTTCTTGATCTACGAAAGTCTAGATAAGTACTATCTTCAACCTAGCAAACAAATTCTAGAGATTAGAATAGTTAAAAATGTTCTAAGTGTAGGAAAAATGGCTTGGTTATACTTACTTTTGGCACAATTTTAGTTGGGACTTGTTGGTTCGATTTGGAAGATGAAAGTTGATTCGTGTTCCCTCTTGAGAACATCGAAATTATATATTTACTTGCCAAAAATGATAAATCACTGAGTGAAAAATCAAAGTTCAAAGTGGACCATTGGAAGAAGGTTTAAGTTGGAGGGAAAATCATATTAAGTTTCCCACATAGGAAGTTGATGAAAGTAATGGCCACTTTAAGAATGATTAAAAATCCACCTTAATTTCAGTGATGTATCGTATTGCATTAAATAGAGCTTTACAAGATAGTATAAATGGAATACAAATCAATAATTTACAATAAAATGGAAACCGTGTAAATTAGCCTCCTTCAATTATGTGATTGGCATTGGCATGCTATGGGAAGATTGTGATTGAGGAGTAATATCCTCAATCACAGTATTATTTCCAACACCCCCCACAAGCTCAACGTCGGATTTGATCGGAAATGGAGCTTGGAACGAAAGAGCTCAAATAGAGGTCTAGAAACACTCTTGGTAAAGATATCAGCAACTTGTAGATGAGATGGGACATATTGTGTACGAAGTTTTCCAGCGACAACAAGCTCACGAAGAAAGTGGTAGTCCAATTCAACATGCTTGGCCCGCTTGTGTGAAATCGGATTGGAGCTTAAAAAAATGGCACTTTTGTTGTCACATAAGAGAGTGGGCTGTTGAGGCATGGATACCTTGAGGTCATGCAGGAGATGTGTGAGCCAGATGAGTTAAGCGGCAGTGGAGGCAAGGGCACGATACTCAGATTCACAGCTGGAACGAGAGACAGTCGGCTGTTTCTTGGCACTCCAGGAAACTAAATTGTCGCCAAGATAGATAGAATAACCAGAGGTCGAACGAAGAGTATCCGGGCAGCCGGCCCAATCAGCATCAGAATAAGCTACAAGAGTACCAGGAGAAGTGGAAGGGCGAAAATGTAGGCCATGGTGAATGGTGCCTTTAACATAGCGGAGGACGCGTTTAACAGCCAGAAAGTGATCATCAGTGGGAGCGTGTAAGAATTGACTGACAGAGTTGACAACATGAGCAATGTCGGGCCTTGTGATAGTCAAGTACTGTAGTGCACCTACGAGGGATCTATAGAGAGTAGGGTCTGAAAACAGAGAACCATCAGCAGAAAGATATTGAGAAACAACCATGGGCGTGTGAACAGGTTTACTGTCAAGTAATTGAGCTCGAGTAAGAATGTCCTATGCATATTTGAGCTGACTGATAAAGAGACCATCAGAAGTCGGAGTGGCTTCAAGACCAAGAAAATAGCTGAGATAGCCTAAGTCTTTAGTGGCAAACTCAGAGTTAAGTGTACGAGTGAAGCGGGCAAGAAGTGAAGAATTGTTGCCTGTAATAATGATATCATCAACATAAAGAAGTAAATAGATAATATCGGACTTCTGATGAAAGACAAATAGAGATGTATCCGCACGGCTGCAAGAAAATCCAAGGCGAATAATAAAGGAGCTGAAGCGCTGAAACCAAGCACGAGGGGCTTGTTTGAGGCCATATAGAGCTTTCTTCAACTGGCAAACATGGTCTGGAAAGCGAGGATCAATATATGCTGGAGGCTGTTCCATATAAACTTGATCAATAAGAGTACCATTGAGGAATGCATTTTTGACATCAAGTTGATGAAGGGGCCATTTTTGTGTAACAGTGAGAGAGAGTACAACCCGAACAGTAGTAGCCTTGATTACGGGACTAAAAGTATCAGTATAGTCAAGACCAGGGACCTGTGTATAACCTTTGGCAACAAGGCGGGCTTTAAGGCGCTCAACAGATCCATCAGGTAAGTATTTGGTTCGGAATACCCATTTGGAGCCCACAATATTGGTGTTGGCAAGGCGAGGTACCAAAACCCAGGTGCGATTATTCTTTAATGCATGAATTTCTTCATCCATGGCAGCAAGTCAAGCAGGATTTTTAACAGCAGATTTGAAACCTTTGGGCTCAGTCGATGCAAAAAGAGCAAAAAGAAGACCAGAAGAGCCCAAGAAACTAAGATTGGCTGGATATCGAGTCTTGAAAATGCCAGCTTTAGCTCTTGTAAGCATAGGATGAGTGGCCAACGGGACCACTACAGTAGGTGTGGGATCTGCACCAGGTTCAAGAGGAGATGAACTTGGAACCGAGGTCTGTAAAGAGGCACCTGCAAGAGAATAAGGATCCTGCAAAGACTCAATCACTGGATCAGTACACATAATACATGGATTTGAACTGGATTGAGTGAGTTGTGAAGAACGAGTGTCAGGGAGTGGGAGAGGTGGATCTGCATGGGTGAGGCTAGGTTCCAGAAAATTGGAAAAGTTAAGGGAGGATATGGGTTGAGCTTGAGAGGTAGCAATGGAAGGAAAATGAGTTTCATCAAATTGAGCATGGCAAGTAATATAGAGCCTAGAGGTGGAAGGCTCGAGGCAACGAAACCCTTTGTGAGAGGGACTGTAACCTAAGAAAATACATGGGATGCTGCGAGGAGAAAATTTGTTAGGCATATAATCTCGTAAGCAAGGATACACATGACAACCAAAAGGGTAAAAGTTTTCATAGTTCGGAGGGTTACCATACAAAATCTCAAAAAGTGATTTACCTCCAAGGAGTGGTGTAGGCAAGCGGTTGATGATGTAAGTTGCAGTGTTGAACGCGTCAACCCAAAAGCGAGGAAAAATGTGGGAGTGAAAAAGGAGTGCTAATCCCATCTCAGTTACATGGCGATGTTTTCTTTCAGCACGACCATTTTGGGCGGGTGTGTATGGACATGAGAGCTGATGGTGAATGCCACTAGAGCGGAGATGATCTTGGAAGAAATTACTAGTAAATTCACCACCGCCGTCATTTTGGAAAATTTTAATTCGAGTGGAGTATTGATTTTCCACAAATTTTTGAAATTGAATAAAAACATTATAAAAGTCAAATTTCAATTTTAAATGATAAAGCCACGTGAAACGAGAACAGTCATCGATAAAAATGGCATAATAGACAAATCCTAAAGTAGATTTGACTGGAGACGGACCCCAAATGTCGCAATGGATAAGATCAAGTGTTTTCGATGACCTATGTTCATTTCAAGAATAAGGCAAGCGATGACTTTTAGCAATTTGACATGTGCCACATAAAGTTGGAGAAGGTAACAAAGATGTAAGATAAAGCTGACCTTTTTTATTCAATAGAGAAATAACAGAATGATTGACATGTCCAAGTCGTGCATGCCATAAATCATAGGACGCACGGAGCGATTTATTTTTAAGAACAGAAATAAAAGTAGAATGACTTCGCTCAAGCACATATAAGCCTCCATCACGCTTGCCGGTTGCCACCACCCTTCCTGTTTTGCGATTATGTACAGTGAATATGCTATTATATACTGATGGAAAGTAAATTCTTGGTAAGGAGAGGTATAGCTAGGACATCAAGAAGATGTAGATTTGGGGTAGGGAAAATTTTACCAGTATGGGTAATGGGTAGTGAGGCACCATTCCCAACAACCACACAATCCTTAACCATGTAATTTGTGGCCTGATCCAATTTAGAGTGATCCATGGTCATATGGGCTGAAGCCCCTGTATCCAAATACCAGTCAGAGCCCACATCTTCATTTAGAGAACAAGATCTCATGAAGACTTCAGCAATGTGAGTTGGTGTCTCATTCCGATCATAGCGTTGAAGGCACCGATCGGTAAAGTGGCCATCCATCCTGCAAATCTGGCATCTTGATGGATGACGCCATTGGCTATAGTTGGAGCGTCCTTGTCCACGATCAGATGAACTGCTGCCACGCCCACCGAAGCGACCCCGATGACTATGAGAAGAGCCACCACGATGGGTGGAATTTTTTGTGACCATAAAGGCTGTTGCTGCTGGAGAAGATGAGTCAAGGGATTTCTGAAAAATTTCAAAACTTTCGGCCTTTGAGACTAAATCTGCAAATGAGGGCAGAGAAGTTTGGGCCATTTGTGCTGTGAAGAAACTAGAGAAATCAGTACCGAGCCCGCGAAGAAACCAGTGCACCTTGTCAGTACCATCAACTGGACAACCAATTGCATGTAGTTGATCACAAATTGCTTTGAAGGAACGAGCATACTCAACATCCGATCTATTGCCGCGTTTCATTAATTGCAAGTCATCCTTAAGGCGTAGTTCTCGAGCTTTAGAACGATGGCTAAATGCATTTTCTAGTGCCAGCCACATGTCTCACGGGGTGGAGAGCCCAACTACCTCAGCCCTGGCTTTCTCTGTGAGGGAGGAAAGTAACAAACTGAGGAGATGCTGATCAATAGCTTTCTATGCTAGGTATTTGTCACTTGGCGTGAGAGAAGTGGTAGCGTCAAGTTTTGGGGGCTGCACAAGGGTGCCATCAACATGTCCT